TTCTAAAAATACCCACCTCCCCATTTTCTTCCAATCCTAAATATCTAACACAACACTTTATCACCAAGATTTGTGCCACTGTGCACTGGCATAAAAAACCAATGGCTGGCTGCCTGAAATCACAGAAATTGTTTACAACAGTTATTCAAACTATTTTACTTCTCTGAATCAGTAACACTGCAGACTTAATATAGTAATGTTGAGAAAAGGCTACATTTTTGTGCCCAAGACATTCTTTCCCAATGAATGACATGATATAAAAGTACTATAGAACTAAGGGAAAGAAAACCCTTTCAGAGAATATAGTGGTATATTAGAACAATCCATATAAATCTGGGTGTATGGGAATGCTCCAAAAATGTAAATAAAATATTAGCAACCACAAGCAAAAGAGCTTAATCAAATCTGGCTTTACACAGCAGAAAGCAAATCTTTTGAATGCATTCTATTCTTGATCATTCAATATGGATATTGTATCTTAACTCCACCCAATTAATAACACTTAATTTTAGTTAACGGTTTTAAGCTGCTTTTTAAAAACTTTCAACTTGTATTTAAGACTTTTAAGCAGCCAAACTGGCTAACACTTTTCTTTTTGCTATTATCAACACACAGATGAGGTACTGGTGATAATTAGATAAAGAATGACTGATAAATACCAACTTGTAAAGAAATTGCTCTGGCTTAAAGGTTCTACTAAGAAATTTTTATTTATTTTTCTTGGTGGTTGGCCAGTACAGGGATCGAACCCCGGACAAACTGAGCTAACTGGCCAGCCAGAAATGTTTTTTGAAATGTTAAAAGTACTCTTTGTCCAAGCTTCTAATCTTGGTTGGGGTACTTGAGCACATCTGCACATCTTTTTCGGTTTCATTTTCATCAACTCATCTCCAAGAGACTGAAGAAAAAGAGGTGTAGCATTTGGTTCTAAACGTGTTTTCTACTGAGCCATGAAATGACCAAATAGGTCAGTGGGTAAATCAGTAAAAAACCTGGATGAGGGGCAAAGTGAGTTAAAGACTCTTTAGGAATGGCAAACCTTTGCTGTTGAAAGGCCAAAGGACCAAAACATCAACACAACCTTGTAGAATTAACATACACAATTACATTCACTATACACAAGACACTGCCACGCCTCCTTGACCCCCTAAAGCCATTCCCTCATACTTTCACTAAGAGCCCTCATTCCATTCTGCCTCAGATTATTTTAACTGTTCACATCCCTCTCCCTTCACCTCCATCCCCAACCCTGCCACACAGCAGCTTTTTGCATATGGCAGACTCAGTTCTTAACTGGTGAATATGGTAAATACTTCATCACTACCAAAAATTCCAGATTTTCATGTTAATGAAAAATACTAAAAAAAATACTCTGCAATTTACTGAGATTAAAATACCTCTAAATAATTCAAAGATATGATTATTGTTAAACCACCTGACACATCCTGTTTTACTAAATAATTGAACTGTTATCCTCATGCCACTCACTTTCTCAAGGACCCTAAACAATTAAGTAAACCTATATACTCTAATCAGATATACATCAAATAGTAAGTTAGAAATGCTATAGCGAAACAACCAAGTTACCTCAAACCCAGCCTCTTTTTAAGACTTTACTTTCTGGGTGTGGGTACAGAGAGGCCACTCATTGTCCTTGCCTTTTAAAGTGCCTGGATCTTAAGAGGTTCAAAAGCTCCAATAATGAGAATATCTACTTGTGTAAAGTTTAGGCCAGATGTAGCAATTATTCATTTGCTTATTAAAGATGGCTTCTGCCCTGCCCAAGTTTAATCAGAGGGTGGGGGAAGGAGACAACAAAGCCACACAACTTTGCATCCCTAAAATTTTTAGACCTGAATTAAGCAGGCCTCAATTACAGCCAATTTAATTTTGATATTGCAAAGCCCAGATAACACATCTAAAATGAATTTTCAGATTTCCATCAATTTGAAAAATCTTACTTGTACACTAAAGTTTGTAAAACTTAATATGTAAAGTATTTAAGGGTGCCTGGAACATAACACTCAATAAATGACAGCTAATATCAATTCCAGGGTTTAAAGAGTCACAAAATAAGAGAAGCACCATGGTTTAACAGTATGAAAGCTAATGGGAATCAGGTTTAGGTCCTGGCTCTACAAAGATTACCAGGATGCTTCACGTTGGGTAGATCCCCACTCTTTTCTGAAACGGTTCAGGAATACGAGCAATGATGCACATAACTTTGAAAACTGAAATTTGCAAAACGGTGTATTTCTAACGCATCATTCCTTTTACCTTTACTAGCTGACATTCTACCTCAAAGAAGAGTTTTCCCTTCTCTCCATTTTTGTATCAATATGGAATCATATTCTTATTTGATGAGTTACAATATTATCATTTATTCTGATAATGTTATTAACACAGATTTTGACTATTATGAACCCTTCAATTGACCCCTGTCCTTTTGACATGTATCCACAATTTTTTGAGGTTTCCTTTCTGGCACAATATGCAGTTCATCTTGTATTTTTTCTGCCCCAGCCCTGAAATCATACCTTCCTCCAGGAGCCATGGTTCCTTTCAGTACTCAGCTGTCTTGAACAGCTACTCTAATAGCTCTGCTACTGCTCAACATTTTCATGACTCCACTTTTGATTATGTTCTCAAAACTAGTCTAACACATCATTTCTGAAAAAAAAATCTTTGTCCTTCAATATACTGTTTGTTGATTAAACAGAAAGCATGGCCCGATTAGACCAATTTACACTTGGTTCACTGCTGTCTTTGGCTGTTTCAAAAGTATACTAAAAAATAATTGCCACTGAAAATATTCTAATAGAAGTTTTATGGGGAAAATCCCCGAATTGCAAGCAACAGTACTGTGTTGAAAGTATATCCTTACAAAGTCTTATTTTAAGGGGTCAGCACCTGGGATATATAATCTATAACATTTCTTTACTATACTTACATCTCCTCACATCTTCATCACGTGGTTATCACTGCCTAAAAACTGGCAAACAGAAAAACTAAAATATTGCTACATACCACTTTGGCTCAGAAATACTAGGTGGAAAAAAACCCACTAGGAGTCCACCTGCATTGAGTGCTGTTTAATTTTCAGCTAAGCTAAAAACATCTTGGCCAACCATTCTTAGAATTCCCACAGTTCATTCTAAACAAGCGTTACAAGAACTTATCCTTGATATTTCAGCAAACTTTAGGGAAAACTAGCTCGTTGGCTCGGATTCTAAAATCCTTTTGTTTGATATTTTTATTATAATGCAATTAAACTTATAATTACAGTATGCTCTCCTTAAACATTTAACAGTGTGGCAAGAATGAGGAGAAATAGGAAAGTCTCTTAATAAAAATTATCTGTTGATGGAAAATCATAATAAAAACAAACCTCAAATATCCTTGTAGGCCATAAGAGCATTAAGCACAACCATATGGGAGGAGATAAAGAGTCTCTCCCTTCACATATATTCTTTTTTATTTTCTTGTTATACCTTCCCAAAACAGAGACATTCAACAGTAGTTAGAATGGCCATCTCCCAACATTTAAAAAAACTGTACCCCCCAATGGGTGAACAAAGTAAAGAGTAGTAACCTAGAGTTCAGCTGAGTAAGCCACTGTGAAGCCTTAAGTAGTGAGGTCTTCCAATTTCAGAGTGATGTGTCTTCAACTTGTATCATCATTTTAGTGGAAAAACATAATTTAATTTTGGTGAAATGAGATTCATCTCCCGACAGGATTAGTAACAGCATTCACTGAATTTCACATTCTTCTTTTGTGAACTGTGAAGAAAATCAATAGCAGCTAGAAGATCAATGGGATTCCAGCTCCAGCTGCAGATGGAATGACGATACACCAGGACAAAAACACCTTATATTTTGATTTACAAAGCTAACAGCAGTTTTAAATCTGCAACTTACAGACCAACTACACCACAGCCTTTTCAAATGGCAAAAATACAAAAAAGTGTTACAAAAATATTTCAGAAAAAGTGCATAGTCTAAGTGCATAGTAAATAAAAGCACTGAAAAATATCTTGCTAGAGGGAGTTCAGCTTGGGAAACTTATTACCAAAGCTAAACATTTTTATTTTACACAAACTATACTCAAAAATAGCTTTATGAGACTGATTTCTGGCTAAAAGTATCAAAGGGTTTATTAGTCAAGAAACAAATACCTTAACTGACAAGGGTGGTTGGAAAAGAAACAAAGAAGCTGCCTACCCCAAAAGTTCAGACTTATTAAGATTTCTTCAGTACTATGTTACTAATATATCCCTTAATGGCAGAATGTGGTAATCATGGAATTAATTATTGCTAAAGTAGTTTTCAAATAAAAAAAACAGTAAAAAGAAAAAAGAAAACAAAACAAAAACAAATTAAACCTGACACAATCTGACCAAACATGTCAATTTACAATTTCAAGGTCGTTTTACAAAATACCTACATTTACACAACAGGCTTCCGGCAGCATTTTCAGAAAAATGTTCTTTTAATTCATCCTGACATGTTATAAATGAGCAAGGTGCACTATCTGAAGAATATCATCAATAAATTTTCCTTTCGAGTCAGAGAAAAAGAAAAGAGCGCGCTAAAAAGATTGGAGAGGAAGCGCACGCACACAGATAACTTAACAGAAGCAAGTGAGGGCTAGAGATGATCAACAATCATGTGAACCTTACACATGTGATACTCGCCAGGGATAAGAGCCAACTGCTCATAGCCACATCACAAGTATTTTAAAGAAAAATATTTTGTATTCAAACCCTTTAACACTTTCATTCTTATTCAAAATCAGTCCAGCAGCAGGAGTTACAATACCAAGTTCTGACAGCTGTAGTACTAGGTATTTCACCTGCAAGTCATTAAAAAAAAGAAAAAGAAAAAACGCCTTTCCCCTTCAGACCAAAAAAACAAAACAAAAAAACCCAACCACTTTAAAAAATAGTTGAGGAAAAGTTGTAACACTAAATCTTGCAAAGGACTATCATGTAACAAATGGCTTGAAGTAGTCTATCAAAAAAATTGGGGAGATTTTTATTTTGTAGTGAGTCAGCAAGGCATTTTTTTGTTATTTAAAAACAAAATCTCATTTCCTTACAGAAAGTTTTTAGTTTTTAATGAACTTGTAAACAAAAAAGCTCCCATTTTAAAATAAAAACAAAATCCCAGATCATATAGATGTTTACAGTGATTACATTTATCTAAGCAACATACATACATGTTCAGTTTTAAGATGTTAACTAAATTTTTGTGACAAATATGTTTTTTTTTTAATACCAAGAACATTATAGAGTTAATGCAGAGTCCTAAGGATAATCTAGTAGTCACTAAGTTTTTCTTAAGTCTTCACTTTAGATGCTGTTATTTCTAGCACAGGTAAGCAGGCAGAGTCTTTCATATGCTCAAACACTGGAATCTTTGGTTGCTACCATATCAGCTGGCTTGCAAACAAGAAGCCAACCATTTTAAGAATGTTTTAAGTGAACAACTTGCAAACCCCAGGGATGGAAAAACCCTAAGAATGCACAATTGTGAGCATTTTACAACCATCACAACTGTGGCTGAAGACTGTTCATGCCGTTCTTCTGAAATGAGATCTCAAAGCAGTATAGTTCAAAATAAAAGGTTTTAAACAAAAAATTGGCATATGCACAATTTCTCCACCAATTTGTGTGTCAACCATTTAGTCAACTTTTCCACTTGAAAAAATGCAATAGAAAACCGGACACCATGTTTCACTATCTCAGTTAATATTCACAATTACAGCGGCTACAACTCAGGAAACAGCATCACCAATGCTGCTCAGAGCCAGTTTATACTGAAATTAAGTTCATTACACCAAGTAAATGGTTGTCCACAACCACTGGCTAGTGTACATGTGAACTAAAATTTCTAGATTTGGGGAGAAACAAATGCTGCTCCGATCATCTGCTCTGCTTCTTCTGTTCCTCAATTCATGCTTAGAAACCTGTTAAAAAATCAAAACAGAAAAAGAAAAGTTAAATTTGAAGTTAAGAAATATTTTTTAAAACAACACCCAAAAAAGGAGAATTGGGTGGAACTGGGCCCATAGTTACTTTTTCATCTATTTGAAAACCAGTATTTCAACTTCCTAAAACAGAAAACATTAATCTAAAATTAAAACTTTTCTGTTTTGGATGACTCTAGGAAGGAGTGGTGTACAGTGAATTAAAGCCTCTCAGTTAGCACACTACTAGTAGTTCAAATGAGAGCATGTTCCCTGTTCACGTCTGTGTTTTTAGTACTTACAACATATTATGTGTCCAAAATATTTGTCAAATGAATGAAAAATAGATTGTTTTAACTAGAGTACAGTTTTAATAATAATATGAGCATGAACTTTTCTGTACATTATTTCCAATACAAACTAGGAAGAGTAAGCTTCAACAATAAATGTATTTGAGGCATAATTATCTGAGTTGTTCTACCAAACACAGACCTGAAAAATATGATTTCTGTACAGAAACCTTAGACAGACCTTCAAAACTTTGTTACTTCACCAGTTGCATTAAAAAAGATTTTTTTCATCACTGATTTGAAAATGTAAACAGGTGATGCTTTTTTTTTTTGGCTTTATTTACCTCTCAAGTCTTCCCAGCCTGCTCACACTTCCCTCCTCTCCCACAGGTAGACTCTAGGGCTTCTACATAAAGGCAGGATTAAATAAAAGAAGCTTTCAGGTTCTAACAGCTATATTTTTTATCTATGGCAAAGAGAGGAAATGTGCCTATCTCTTAGCAATAACTGAAAAATCCCATAAGCACTTTCTCTTCTCACCTACACTTTTTTTTTTCTTCAGGCATTGATGCTCCTTTGTCCACCCCCTTCCACACCCTTAATAGATGCCCTAATTACGGCTCATTCTAGTCCACCCTGACCTCTCCTCACTTCTTTAGCATAAGCCATGTTTTTGTCAATCATAAACTGCTCCTTTTCTTTTTTTCAGCCATAGGAGCATAACATATATTTATTTATCGATAATCTAAATATTAGAAAGCAAAAGTGAACTCCAGTAACGCTCCTTTCCTTTTACTTCTCAAACATTTATTGAACATTTATCCTATGGTCTTCATGAGATAAATAAAATACTTCTATTATTTGTTTTTTATGCACGTATATATATATATTTTTTAAATTAACACCAAACCATTTATACATCATTTCTTCGTAAATATTCTCTCACTTGTTAACTAGGAGCTTTTTCATTTGAGGGCAGTCATCTTCATCGTTTAATAAATATATTGTTCTAAGCCCTGAAGACAAAGATATCAGTGCTCTACTTCTTTGTCTCTCCATAGTGCCTAACAACAGAGTAGATATATAATAGATTTTTGCTGCCTCATAAGAAACAAATGCCAAAAACGGAAGATAATGAAACTCTGAGAATGTACTTCACCACAGGGAACATTATCTATTTGACACATATTATTAGATAGAATTAGCAAGATAAACATTAAAAAAAGTCTGTCAAATCAAACCTCAATTAAACTGAAAAATGTGCTTTACTCTGTGACCTAATTCCACTTTAAAAATAAAGGATAATAGGGCTGGCCGGTTAGCTCAGTTGGTTAGAGTGTGGTGCTAATAACACCAAGGATCAGGGTTTGATCCCTGTACTGGCTGGCTGCCAAAAAAAAATCAATCGGTACAGAATAAGAAGCTATGCACGGTAATACACTATAGCTTAGCTAAATAGAAATTACCCTTATTTGGTTTCAAGTCCTACAATTACTCTTAAACATGATTAAAAGAAACATGTTTTCACAACTAAATTGTTGGGTTTTCTTTTATCATAACTTGCTTACATAATCACATATAAAGTGAGTAATTTGATTGTTATGTTGAATATACCAAATGGTTTTCAAATAGAAAACCACAGGCAGTAACAATCTAAAAAGGAAACATAAGTCACGTTGCAGTTAAAATATTAGAAAATTCTAGTGTCTTTAATAATAGGGAAGCCCTAGACGAGAATTATATCTATTCATCTTTTAATCTGATATTTGAGGAATCGCTTGGTCAACTAATGATTACAATTGTTTAGGGACTGTCTAAAGGCTAGCCTAACAATATTCCTGGTAGAATAGAACAGTCAAACCCAGATGTAACTCTTCAGATGGGCCACTGGTAGGATACTCCACCCAGTAATCAATGTTTCTCCAGTGAATTGTCCTAAGATGTTATACTGAAGTTCGTTTAGAAAAAACCTCAATAGGAACATGCAACAGGTATTCAACGTTCAATCTTCAAGCACTAAAGCATTCTTTTCCCCAGTGTACATTAGTCCTTGGTTTTTATCTTGCAGATTGGGTGGTATCTTCTGGCTTCCAAAAGTTCAAGAACCCATCATCACTGTATTGTCGGTTAAAATGAGGGATGAATCTCTTTGTTCCTAAAAAAAAAAAAAAGAGGGAAAAAACAAAGTTAAGACTGGGTTGGATAATTAATGTAATCATTCAGGAGTTAATAGCTACATTTAAGTTTCTTTTCAAATCTGCAAAAGGAAAAAAATGTTTATTTTTTATTTATTTATTTTTTTTTGTCTTTTTTCCGTGTCCGGCAACGGATCGCAACCCTCAGTGTTGCCCCCGTACTGGACCGGGGACCGGCAATGGGATCGCAACCCTCGGTGTTGCTCCCGCGCCTCACTCAGCCAGTGAGCGGGAACCGGTCTGTATGTGGGATCCGAACCCTCGGGCGGGAGCACTGCTGCGCTTCCCAAGCGGCGCACTATCCAGTGCGCCACCGGGCCGGCCCCCCAAAAATGTTTATTTTTATATAACTAACAAGTAGATTCTTTCCCTCAATCTGAAATCTAAAAAGCATGTATCTGTTTTTACTTGTGAATTAACTTCAGATGTCCCCAAAACTAGAAACCAGTTCAAATGCACATTTATGTAGAAGTTATGCTTATAAGTTTGTGATGGGCTTTTGAAATTTAGGGTCCTTTCACAATGTAAGACATAACTTTTTAAAAGTTATTTTGGGGGCCGGCCCGGTGGCGCACTGCTACAGTGCGCCACTTGGGAAGCGCAGCGGCGCTCCCGCCGAGGGTTCGGATCCCACATGCAGACCGGTTCCCGCTCACTGGCTGAGTGAGGTGCAGGGAGCAACACCGAGGGTTGCGATCCCGTTGCTGGTCCCGGGCCAGTACGGGTACGACACTGAGGGTTGCAATCCGTTGCCGGTCATGAAAAAAAGAAAAGGGAAAAAAAAAAAAAAAGTTATTTTGAATGTATATTCACTATGCAACGTCATTTATATTTACTAACTCTTCCTATAACATGCTTGTGTGGGTTCTCTTGTTGGCACAGAATTACGCTTGGAGAATTTTGAATCAAATTGGCAGTATGTGAAATTAAAGAAAAAAACAAAAACAAAAAAACCTACAATAACTCTTCCTTACCCATAGAAACTAAAAAAGAATTAAATTGGGATGGATAAAGAAAATATTTTATTTTTATTACTACAAATGAGATAAAAGATGATTTAAGTATATAGTAGGTATGCATCATCCCTAAACTACGTTAAAAAAAATAAACTGATGATCTGAATTCTTTTGTCTTCCCTATTAGAGAATTCATTCTGCTACAGATTTCTGAGGTTGTTTAGTTTTAAAATACCTGTTAAAATTGAGTCCTTCCCCAACTGGTAGATGGTCTGCGTTATACACCACTGAATCACAGCAACATTGTACTCTTCTAGGTCTTCTGACAGTTGTGGTATCATCCAGACAATCTGACAAGTTGAAAAGTTTGATAGGTCCAGCAAGCCTTGAAGACGTGGGCTCCAGATCAAAAAACCAACTCTTGCATTCTCATCTTCACTTCCTGTTGGGTTATTTAGTTTTCTCGCTAGCTTTACTGTCCACAATAAGAAGCTGACAAAAATTCAGGATTTCAGCAAGCAGATGCAGTTCCCTGGTACTTCTTTGGATTTAGTATATTCAGAGCAGATCAGTCTAGTCTCTCCAGATATTTCAAGGTCTTCCCCTGTGACTTGGGTTACATTGCTGAGTGACCAGCCACATTCCTAGCAGCAATTAGTGAAGTCAGAAAAAGTTAAGCTAGACATAAATGACAGTGAAGCCCAGTAAATACTGGAAGGTAATTCACGGAAGACCATGGACTCAATGGGTTAATGTGATGGAACGATATTTCTAATCTCCTTTGAATGCAGACAATTTGACATCTATCTACACTATTAAAATAAAACTATGCTTATTATCTACGGCTGTGGTAGTGAACAAATGGGTTAAGATGATGAGAGCAGAGAATAGAAGAATTATGTGAGGATCCACCTTTGGCTTCACAATCTTCTGAAATTCTCCCCACCTCTGCCGTCAACTGAAGAAATGGTGAACTTAACCGGATTTTGAAGTTCCTAAAAATATTTCCTTTAGGGCCGGCCTGGTGGCGCAGGCGCACTGCTATAGTGCGCCACTTGGGAAGCGCGGCGGCGCTC